TTCCTTTCCTTTCCTTTCCTTTCCTTTCCTTTCCTTTCCTTTCCTTTTTCTCTCTCTTGTTAATATTTCTTAAATATCCCAGAATGTTTCTCCTGTTTCTTTAAATTTTAATTTAGATGAGATAACAGATGACTTTCTAAGCATTTTTAGTCAGATTTCTACAAAATAAGATACATGATGCTCTACCTAGAAAACCATGAACCTATTGTTTCAAGCCCACTCTTTAGAAGGTAGGAAATATAAAGTGCCCTGCTACTGATATTCCCAACAGAAAAGTTATGTTTTAAGCAGCTGTTCCCCTATTGTGTTGCTTTGATTGACAAGTAGGAATAACATGTAACTGAAGTAGGAATAACTGTAGAAAATGTAAAGTTGCATTATTCTTTAGTTATATGAATGTCTTTAGGCTTACATCCTGGTAATAAATGTGGTGAAACATCAATATTTATTGCATTTGTGAAGGCTGATCAGAAGCACCACTTACGATGACCTTTTCTCTTGGAGGTTCTAGTTGTCATGCCTGAAGCAGATTCAGAAAATTCTGATGATGAAAAACCTCCTCTGGCTGAGGCCTGCAAATCAACAGCAATCAAGTATCTGAGGCTGACTCCTCCAGAGATCATCCAGACTGTGCTGGCAGTCAAATGATGAGGTTCTTGTTCCCAAGCAATTGCCCAGGCCTTGTATGCAGCCTATAGTCCAGAGAACACAGGTATCTACTGTGTCTTCTTGCAGACAAGATGACATTAGTCTTAATTAGTTCCCACCTGGCAATAGCCCTACTCAGCCTGGTGCTATTGGGAAAAATGAAGCCAAACTGGACAACCTTTCCATGAATGCCTTGAATCTTGAATTTGGAGGGCTCAGTCTTTTATATCATATCATAGACACCATGATGCAAGTTGGTACCACAAGCAGCTTCGCTTAATATAATTTCCTTAGATGGGTTGAATATGCTTGGACTAGGCAATCACATTCAACCTCCTGCTCCAGGAAGGATCACAACTCATATGCTAGCTAAAACTGGACAAAGGTATCCAGGCTGTGTTCTCCATCTAGTCTTCTAAGAATGGACATGATTCTAGCAGGACACCAAAGTTATGCATTTATTTTCTCAGAGACAGATCCACCTATTCAAAAGAAAATATGAGAGCTGAGAGAAAAGTAGCCTGTTTCATCTCATCCACATAATAAAACATCTATTTTCTCAATGGCTTGAGAAAATTTTTAACAGCAACTGCAGTTATTATGTTTACTGGCAGCATATTGGCAGTATCACCAGACTAGTGATGGTATCACAGCTTGAATCATCAGGTAATGTCACCCCATGCCTTAAGATGAGGAAAAGGCTGACCCATGTAACATTTCAGTTAGGCAGACTTCTTCTTCTTTACTATCTCAGCCTAGAAATTCTTCAGTCCTCAGCAGTTTATGAGGATATCATGATCAATGTTACCAACAGCCTCTAAGAGGCCAAACAAGACTAAGAGAGCTATGTTCCACCATTCAGGATCCTAAGTGCTTTATCTGCCTCGTGACTGTAGCAATATTTAAGTTTGATAGTTACTACTTAAATTTTATATGGCTTACACTTTTATTATTTTCAGAACCATCTTTTCCTGATAGAATCTGCCAAGTGCCCATGGGCTAGTAGAAAGGATGATGTGGGCCCTTAGAAATTGAGGTAGCAACCCCTTCATTCTCTTGTTCTTCAAGCAAGAAATTCTTTTTGTTTTAGTTGAGATTATTTTTATGGATGTTTTAACCCTGTAAATTTTAATCTATCAAGAAATCTGCAAGTACAGATGGTAATAATGAATGAATGAATAAAAAAGCCATTTTCAAACTAGGTCCTTTTAAGAACAGATCTTTTAAAAATTCTATTGAGCTAGTCATAATATTATGTGTACTCATTATCACTCTGCCATTGGCATAGTTGTCTTA